ATACGTACATACATACATATCCACATCCAGCCATACATACGCTACATGCATACATACAACCATACATACATATACCCATACGTACCAAAGGGAAGCATGCAAAAGTGCAAAGCATTCATACACACCAATACTCAGCGAGAATTCATTGCTCAAACATGCCAAAAATCACGATCTTCATTCACTTCTCAACCTGCTTATCCAACAACCGACTTAAGTTGATTAACGCCAACTCAGCCAGCACCAGCTTCCGTAGGTAAGCACGGAGCGCATCGGGACGGCTTAGGCCGTGTAACCTCGAGCGCCCTGGCTTGTCCTGCGGGCAAGGCCGAGAGGTTGAGGGGGGCCTGTGAAAGGGGGAATACCCCTTGCACAGACCCTCAAACCCATTATTTTAACAACGGTCTCAGTGGACAGGAGACGAACTCTCCTGCCCACTTAGATACCGCGTGGCGAGCGGGCATTGTGCGGTGGATAAAACCGCCCCACAATGTCAAGCCACCACGATCGAATACGTACCGTCTCACCCCAATAGGTAAGCACGGGGCGCATCGGGACGGCTTAGGCCGTGTAACCTCGAGCGCCCCTGGCTCTGCACATGGGGAATACAGACTGGCCAAGCTGCCGTAGGTAGGCACGGAGCGCATCGGGACGGATTAGGCCGTGTAACCTCGAGCGCCCCTGGCTCTGCCTACGGGACAGGTTGGTGGTTTGTGAGAACATACTGACGACCAGCTTCCGTAGGTGACTACCGTGGCCGTTTCGGACCGCCAATATTAAGTGCCGCCCTGGGCCAAGACAACAGCGAGGAACCACCACCGACTATCATTAACGAGGGCCGCTAGCAACATCATCGCCATCCAGGGCCGTTGTCACCGTCGTGCATCATTAGGGCCGGACTGCCCCCTTCCTCACCATTGGGCCGCCAATATCATTGCCGCCCCAGGCCGAACGCAACACCAAGAGCCGCCACCTTTCAGGGCCGCTAGCAACATCATCGCCATCCAGGGCCGTTGTCACCGTCGTGCATCATTAGGGCCGGACTGCCGCTTTACTCACCATTGGGCCGCCAATATCATTGCCGCCCCCTAGGCCAAACCGCTACCGAGGACCGCTACTTGCTGTCTGCCGCTAACATCATCGCCATCCAGGGCCGCTGTCACCGCCGTTACTCATCAGAGGCCCGTTGTTATAACTAGGGCCGCCAATACTGCTCTCACTACGGGAGGTCGCTACCGCCCTCACCACTATTTGGGCCACCGTCAACATCACCGCAGGGCCGTCACTACTAAAGGGACTGCTACTGCCATCACGATCAGCATCGTCGCTCTCATTGGCTGCAGTACCCGTGCTGTGGGCATTTACCCTCATCACGCTCGCTACCGCTCTCACTGTCATTAATCACCGAACCATCACCGCTCTCACTGTCATTAATCACCGAATCATCACCGCTCTCACTGTCATTAATCACCGAACCATCACCGCTCTCACCGTCACCGCTCTCAACAACACCGCCACCGTCACTAGCCACTAGACAGTCTCCGCTCTCTGAGCCACGACGCCGACCGCCGACCAGTTAGTCGCTCTCTCCCTCCCCTCTCTTCGTGGACGTCAGGGTACCGGCAGCCTGGCCGAACGGCCGCGTGTGTGTGTGGTTGTGTTCGCTATATTCAACTACTGTGTTTATTTTATTCAGTGGGGGTTAGTGGGACCTCCACTCAACCCTGGAGCGGCTGAGCTACCTCAGCCTTCGATAAAACCCACCTCATAAATGGCGCCCGAGCAGGGACCCAGCTCTGCAGGCGCATGTGCAAAAGCACCAACAAGCACCAACCCTGTCGAAGCGGGTTCATCGAACACACCACAACCAACCAATAACACACGGACGAGCGAAAACGACACAGCAACGCTGAACGCCGACTCTCTGGGCTGGATATACCTACTGAAAAAAGAGAGATTGGTGGAGGAATGCAGACAACACCAGTTACCAATTGAAGGGAACACAGTCGCAGAGCTACGGAGTGCTCTAAGCCACTTCATCAAAACCAAGCGAAGTAGAAGATCAACCGAAAATCTCCTAAAAGAACTAGAAATGGAGATCACCGCTGAAGAAGCCAGTATAGCGAAGTCCTTACCCGAAGTCACCCCAGCCATAAAACTGGGCGAATCATTCCTACACTCCGGAGGAGCAAAACTAGCAGCTCCTCAGCGAGACAGGTTTAGTAACGCCGAAGTAATGAGTACTGTCCGTCGTTGGGACGTACACTATTCCGGCGGCGATGCCCTGCACGACTTCTTGGATCGGATTGAGGAACTGGCAGGATGCTACCAAATCCTGCCAGACCAACTCCTCCCAACCCTGCCCGAGATTTTACGCGGTAAAGCACTCCAATGGTTCCGCGTCCAGAGGCAACAAATAACCACCTGGGCTAGATTTCGTACCGGGGCGGAAAAATTTTTTCTGCCCAAACGACACATAACGCAGCTAGAAGACACAATTCGCCAGCGGAAACAGATGCACAGGGAAAAGGCCAAGGACTACATCCTCGCCCTCCAGACACTCATCCGACAACATCCGGTCATGTGCCACGAAAACCACCTAGAACGTATTTATGACGGTCTGCGAGTCGAATACCGACTCTTCGTAAAAAGAAGCGAATTCCAAACCATCGAGGAGCTCATGGAGCTCACCGATGAGTATGAACTGCTCAAAAATGAAGAAGCCAGACAAAGTAGACAAGCGGCACACAGCCTTTCCACCATAAGTAACCGGTACGACGCAAGGAACACCTGCTGGCGCTGCAAAAGGCGTGGGCACCAGCGTTACCATTGTCACTACCCACGGCGACTGTTCTGTTCTCGTTGCGGTGAAGATGGAACTCTCTCCAGAAACTGCCCATACCTCAAATCAATCAATACCGCGCCACCCATCGCCCAAGCCACTACAGTGCAATCCGAATGGAGAAGTATCGACGGTCGCTTCTACGCCGACGTCACCATCGAAGGCCTACACGTACGAGCACTGGTGGACACCGGAGCCACTCTAACATACGTAGACGACAGCACGCGCGTGCATTTAGAGCGACTCAACATCCGACCCCAGCCTAATAAGCGAAACGTCCAACTCGCGGATCAGACATGCGTTGCCAGTACACACACCTACCCCGTCAGAATCAAGTATAACGAGCGATTCACACGCACGGCGGTAGCAGTGATCCCGAACCTGGCAGAACGAATGATATTAGGAATGGACTTCCTGTCAAAGCGAGGCATTGTTGTGACCTTAGACGGCCAGCCACTAAATCCCGACACGTCACCGAGGCCCACACCCACCTTGTGTTGCCTAACAGAACGGGCTCACTTAAATGAGGAACAAAATCAGGAATTGGCACACTTCTTGGACAACAACAAAACGCTGTTCTCCAAAATCACCGGACCAAGTACAGCCGCCGAACACATCATTACACTGCGACACAACCAACCGCTGAAGCAGCGCTACTACCCGCGCAATCCCGCCATGCAGCAGGTAATAAATACCGAAGTGGACGAATTACTCACCGCTAACCGGATAGAACCCTCCAGGAGCGCATACAGCTCACCAATTGTACTAGTCAGAAAGAAACAAGGAACCTGGCGGATGTGCATTGATTATCGTCAACTCAATGCCGCTAGTGAACCCGACGCGTACCCACTGCCTCAAATCGGAGCCATTTTGGACCAGCTAAAAGAAGCAAAGTACATCTCAACCATCGACTTAAAGAACGGCTACTGGCAGATACCGTTAGCCAAGAAGTCTCGGCCATATACCGCCTTCACCGTTCCCGGCCGAGGACTTTTTCAATGGAAGGTAATGCCCTTCGGACTACACTCCGCCCCAGCCACCTTCCAACGCGCCCTCGACTCTATACTCGGCCCGGAATTGCAACCAAAAGTGTTCGCCTACTTAGACGATATCATCGTGCTAGGCGAAACGTTCACCGAACATATGACCTACTTACGCGAAGTCTTTCATAGACTTCAGAACCACAAAATGCAAATCAACTTCGAGAAATGCAGTTTTGTACAACAAAAACTACATTACTTGGGACACATCGTCAGCTCTGAAGGGATACACACCGACCCTGGAAAAGTAGCCGCGGTACGGGAAATGACTGCGCCCCGAACCATCAAGGAGCTTCGCCGCTTCCTTGGACTTGCCTCCTGGTACCGCCGCTTCATCGCTAACTTCTCCACACTCGCGGCACCCCTCAACCAGTTACTCAAAAAGAACGAAACTTGGACATGGGGCGAATTACAGAACAACGCATTTGAGGCGCTCAAGGAAAAACTGACTTCCGCACCAATACTCTGCTGCCCAGACTTCAACCAACCATTTTTTCTACAAACCGACGCTAGCGGAGAAGGACTCGGCGTGGTCTTATTTCAGCGCCATTCGGATCAAGAGAAAGTCGTGGCCTATGCCAGTAGAAGTCTGTCAAACTTAGAAAAGCGTTACTCAGCTACGGAACAAGAATGTCTGGCTGTCCTGTGGGGAATTCGAAAAATGAGACCATACTTAGAAGGCTACCAGTTCACTGTTATCACCGACCACCACTCCCTCAAGTGGCTCCACTCGCTACAAAACCCCTCCGGGCGTCTGGCCAGATGGGCACTTGAGCTACAACAATACAACTTCGAGATCGAATACCGAAAGGGATCTTTAAACGTGGTGGCTGACGCACTATCACGGTGCCCGCTGCCAGCCCCCAGCACAGAAGAAGACCTACTGTTCGCTTTGAATAGCCAACGTACGAGTTGGTACGACAGGAAGACACACCAAGTTCAGACGCAACCCGAACAAAACCCCGACTACCAGTGGATCAACAGCCGACTATTCCGACATATAGCACCAACAAATCCACTCTCCCGTGCCCCGCAATGGAAGCTCTGCATCCCCGCTAACCAAAGGAAAAAGATCCTTAAAGAAGTCCACGACGCCGCCGCGGCAGGTCACCTCGGGATCAGGAAAACCCTCAAACGTGCACAAGAAAATTACTA